CAGTAAGTTTGCTGCGTTAAAATATTCCTAAATGGGTGGAAAAATTTTTGGAAATTTTAGGTCAGAAAAAAATTGAATTTTTTCAAAATTTTTCAAACATTTTTAAAATATTTATTGGAAGTTTTAGGTCTCAATTTCTTTGCTAATCTTATGCAGAAGCAATTTTAGGACAACCTCTACCAGATGATGACGAAAATGCTCTATTGGTCGATGGCAACGGTGATAGAAGTGCGTAGCATCTATAAATTTCTGAAAAATTTTTCGAATAATTTCAGTTTTTTCTCCTTTCCAAATAATCGATGTAATTTTTCCACTGTACCGTTTGAAAAAACAGATTTTTTGTGGGAACAGCGAAAAAAAGTTGATTCTAGGCAACATTATCAGTGGCTTTTTTGAATTTTCAAAAAAATTTTCTGAATCATTCCATTTTCAGTTACGATTCCACAAGAAATTACGCCACCACCAGCCGGAGCAACTGAACAACCGACTGTGGAAACGTCAAGCGGAGCACCGGAAGCGAAATTGCTGCCTGCCTCAACCGTCACGGTGCTGGAGTCTATCGATACTGAGGCGCACGCTCAACCGAAGGAATTCCCTGCGGAACCGCTGTCGCCCAAGGATGCCTCTTCTTCAATGGATGGTGTGGCTGAACACTCGAAGCTGGCCACATCCTTGCCGGAAACCTCGCAGTCCACTGGAATCGAGACTGAGACGACTGGAGTATCGCCTACAGAAGCTCCTACCACTGCTTCTGCTTATACTGTTGGAACCTCAGAAACTTCTGCGGTTTCAGAGACTCTAGAGACTTTTGAAGGGACTTCAGTCCAGTTTCCTTATCCGGAGAAGTCTCCCGAGTCAACCGCTGTATCCGTTGAAAGCACTGAACTCATGGCAACGACGACCCGTAGCAGCAGCACTAGTAGCTCTAGACTCGATGAAGCTGAGTCGTTTGGGTTTAGCACTAAGCAAATTTCCATGCTGGAAACCTCAGAGAGACGTGAATCTTTAGAATCGTCCAC